CACGCACATACAGGCAAGCATTAATGTGAGCCCATAAACACAAGTTCAAAAACACAAACATGCCTCTACACGTCCATCAAAATACATGTGGAATCGCAGGTACATTTTACCAGTTATTGAGTCATAAAATAGTGAATAATGTTTTTTAAGATACAGGCTGCGGCAGGTTGTGTTGACTGTGTGATAAGTGAAGAGTGTGTTGTGTACCTGTGGCTGGGAGAGCATGTCCAGACTCCAGGAGCACATCCTGCCGTCTGTAGACACAGTGATCAGGTTGTTGGCATTCTGGGTGCCAACCACGTTCACGCAGTACACTGGGTGCTACACAGACGCGCACACACACACACACACACACACACACACACACACACACACACACACACACACGTGAGCATAAACAAAGCGATACAGACAAACAGGCACATAAAAGGATTTGGGTGGGAATACACACTTGCACAACGCATAACACCACGTTTTCAATATCTCATAACTCACCTCACCTCTGTGAAATGACACAGTTCCTACTGAAATGCTTGTTACTCCACTGCATATCATGATCACAATCATAAATCATGATGATTAGTCTTATTGATTAGAAGCACAAGAACTTCTCTGGACATTTGGAACTTTGCATAATAAATATTGGGATAATTGGCTGTCAGGGAAACTAAATATCTCAATAATTTCATAAACTAATATTAATAAAAATAGATTTTAAACATGATGATGTAACTTTACCCTTAAGCACATGACATCATTAGATACTCTGTGAACCAACATATGCAGCAGGCAAACAGACACCTCACATGCCAGTGTGCAGTCGTCCTTTTAAATGACTCTACGTAACCATTGTGTCATTACTGGGAAGTAATTGATTTGTGTACTGGGTCGAACAAAGAATCCATTCAGCAATCAGCACCGTGCTCGCTGGCTGGACTCACTGACTGGAGAGGACAAGAGCGACGGCCCCATTATTGGAGTCCACAGCCACTTTAAACCTACAGCATGGATGGCATGTAGCAGTGTGTGTGTGTGTGTATGTGTGTGTCTACATGCCGTCTGTAGCTGTGATTATAGACAGCAAGCACAAATCTCAAGATATTGTTGGTGTATACTGGTCAGTTATTTGCTGAGGGTCATTGAGTTCACTGGATCGCCCGAGCTGACCTGTCCTTCCAGTTATATCTACAGTATGACTGCTCACATCAAGTGTGTGATTGTGTGTGTGTACTCGTGTGTTTGTCTTTTGTGAGAACATTGAGTTTCAAAGCTTCTTCTTTCATGGGGACATACATCAAGCCATTCTCATGAAAATGTCTTATCCTTCATCCACATTAACAGATACAGTAAAAACAAATTGTCTCTATCAGTTTCAAACTACACCCACACAGTGTTGATGAAACAGATAACCAGAGTTTTTGAGCGTAAAACTTCATTCTTTATACATAAAACCACATATACCTATGGATGTTTTTTTGTTTTCGAAATTAGAACTTTGATTGCTGCATATTTAGTCATGAATGCCAAATGCCAGGAGTTTTAATGCTCCTTTGTAATGTTACTATTAAATCATTGTATTATATCCTTTTTAATGCAAATAATTTAAGCTTTTTCATGTAAGTCAGCTTGTTTTAGCATTTGAAATCACATTGATCTGCAACTAGCAATTATTTTAATTGCTGTAAATGAATCATTTAGTCTATAAAATATAAAAAAAAATGTTTCCCAGTACCCAAATACTGACTAATACTGTTTGTATGATATAAAATAAAGAAAAGAAGACATTCTTCAAATTTGAGAAGCTAGAAACAGCAAGCCTTTGGTATTTGAGCGCCTGATAAAGGCATGTTAAACAGATGATCAAAACTGTGATTGATTCTCTGCAGATTCACTAATTAGCTAATCGTTTCAGCACTAAAAACACTGTATGATTGTAGGCTTAAAAAATTAACTCTTAGACACTTGTCTGATTTTTAGACAGAAATAAGAACATTTTAGGTTTCAGTTATGGATGCTTCACAGACGAAGTTACATGTAGTTGTTGACAAATACATGAATTAACATTTAGGTCTGCTTACACCTACATCAGAGTGTCTTACACACTAAAAATATCTGATGGGTACTGCAACTCTAACATGTTATGTTAGATGTTATGTGTATGTTATAGTGATACTGAGAGTCAGCCTTACAGTGTGTGCAGCAGCAGACAGGGGAGTCCTCTGAACAGGGGTCCGACGGTGACTGCGGTTGTCCCACAGTACAATCTGCCCTGAGTAAGTGCCCCCCACCACCAGGTTGGGATGAAACCTGGCAAAGCCCACAGACACCACCGGGGACTGCGGAGAGAGAAGGATAAAGAGGAGGAGAGGATGAGAGAGCAAAATTACTGCATATTATTCTGGTGTGAGGTTATTTTAGAGGCAAGTAAAAAAAAAATAAAAAAATGATCATGGACTGACAAAAAGAGGAAGATGGTGAGAAAAGATAAAATGCTTAGATAAAACAGCAGACGGTAAGAAAAGAGCAAAAACAAAGAAATATGTGAACAGAAAACGGTAATGCTAGACGAAGCATGAGTGAGAAAGAGTGATCAAGGCATCATGATGGGTGGCAGACATCGGGCAGATAGACGGAGAGGGAGATGATGAGTCTGGCTACGGTGGGGGTCCGCCGAGTAGAGGGGAAAGGGGCGATGCTGGGGCGGAGACCAGACAAAGAGGGGAATTGTGGTCCTCTTTCCCCCAGCCGTTTCACATTACAGCATCAAAACCCCAGCAGCCACTGGAGCGCTCACTGTAGCCTCCATCATGACAAGCGCACCCTTGAACTACCTCCCTCTCCAGTGCCGTGTTTATTGAGTTTTGGTTCCTCTTCACTGCTTGTCCCATGTGGGCTTCTGCGTGCAACAGCTAGCCTCGCCTGACCCAGAGCCACTGAAGCATCTGCGCTGAGGAGTGATGAGAAAATGTTTCAGCTACGTAGTGCTACAGGAGGGCAAGTGATGTTATGCACTGACAAATTTATCCTCCCCATCCATCCATCTAGCAAAGCAGCATAATCATGTTGTTAATTATGTTAATTTATAGGCACGACACAGCCAAGAGAGCATCCAACAAGAAGCTCAGAGACACAAATCACAATTTTGCAATTCGCAAAAGGATTGTTGCCTGATACAGTCATAGATTTTGTTGGAAGAACTGACACTGACAGATTTAATGTTCCTGAAAACGGTGCGTCTGCCATTTTGTTGTTGCAACAACAGCTCTGAGACTGTTTTTGGAGACAGTCTCTTCATTTATTATCAGAATCCTGCCAAATGAATTAATGGATTAACAAGGCAATGGTTGTATGATTGTTTATTTGAATACTTTTATAACAGAGTACATATTAAAATGTTCTATAAACTTTATGATACCATTACTTGTCATCGGCTGTTAAATAAACAGTGAACTAATATAATTAAAATAAATATGATTTAAGAATTCAGACTAATTAGAATCACCGCCTTGCAGTTGTATGCCTCCGCTGAAATATGGTTACAATCTCCCCTTCTTGAGTTACAGCATTGAATAATGGCCAGAAGTGTTTTTGGAGAACATTATGATGTCACAGTGAAGTTGACCTTTGACCTTTTGGATATAAAATGTCATCACTTTATCATTTTATCCTATTAGATATTTGTGTTAAACTGTCATAATTTGTGAGTTATGACCAAAAACATGTTTTCTGAGGTCACAGTGACCTTTGACCTTTGACCACCAAAATCAAATAAGTTCATCCTTGAGTCCAAGTGAACATTTGTGCCAAATTTGAAGATATTACCTGTTACTGAGAAATTGCATTCACAACAATGTGACGGACATGTTGACAGACAACCCGAAATCAATATGCCTGCAGCCCGGGCTGTTGCCGGCGCAGAGCCACAATAAAAGCAGTAACAAATTAATGTTTGATTGACTGAAGAACCACTATAACAAACCCTCTCAGAAACAATAATGGCTTACATGAATCCCCTTAACCTATGAGGGAATTCATTGGACATTGTCAAATCTAAATCCAATAACGGTGATCAACTGTTAGATTAATGCTCCCCCGGGGCTGCAGGAGACCACCTGTTTGACTGAGGCTGGACATGACAGATTTTAACATTAGTCTCAATTTTATCAAAAACAGTTCTCCATCTCCTAAAGCCAAGCTCTAACTTCATATTTATCCTTTATGGCTCATTACAGCCTTCTGTTAACAGGCAACTTAGATGTTACACAGTGTTCCTTGAAAAGTTTAAAGGTCAAACCACTGTCAACTCTTGCAATGAATTTATATATTTAACACCTCATTATTCAGAATATTCCCTCATAACTTTTTTAGCCCCAATTTCTTATAAATTATATAAATAAAGTTACTTCATGAAAATGAAGAGATATTGCTCAACAACTGAGCACTGAAGTTTATACCACTAAAAGTAAAAGGGCTGATCAATTTGTGGGGACTACTGGTATATAGTAACTTTGCTAAGGTAGCATCATCATTTCAAATAACTGTTAATAACTCACATTTGTCCTGGTGTACAGAAGATCAATATGAAGATCTTATGCAGACGGAGTCAATCTAAAAATCTGCAATAGTCTAACATTTGTCTTACTTTTCATTTCTCTTTGCATTTCTTTCCCTCCTGCTCCCTCCCCCTCCCCCTCTCTCTCCATCCCCACCACCACACCATGTGTGAAGCAGCCAACTCAAAACCCAGTTCATTTTGAAAGGAGACTGGAAAACAAACCAGAGGCAAAGAAAACACTGCATACTCTCTCACTCTCTTTTTTTTGGTTTCTTCTGAGGAGTCACGGCTTCCAGACGAATGGTTTGGGAGTCGCTTCAGATGTCAACACTCAAAATAAACTGAACTTCGGTGGTAAAAATAAAGTTGCTCATCAGCCAGCAGTGAGGCACTCTCCGAAAAGTTTATTTACACGATCAGATAAAAAGGGATCAAAGTTTTTGGTTTATTAGCCTGTATTAGCACACAGGAGTGGATGGTCTGACCTGGATTATCCACAACTGTTTGATTTATTTCACGTGAAATTCACCTTGCCAGGTTTATTCTATGGCATATGTACAATAAAGGCAGCTGCAATCGTTAAAAAGAATATGTGAAGCTCAAGCCATGTATAACTGTGTAAGATGCCATAGAAGCCGACTATCCTGACCTATCAATAAAGAGAATAGTCCAAAAATTATTGAAAGAAGGTTTTGGGACACTAAGACAGCTACTCCAAGCACTCCTACTCAAATCCATGTGGATGACTCTGCCTTGAACTTGATGACTTTTAACAGCCCTGAATTTTGGGATGACCTTTACCCTCTGTGGTTGTCTGACAGGCTGCTGTCTGAGGTCTGCGTCCCCAGACTCCATCAGTGGGCTAATAAACCCAAGTCCTGCCCTCTCTGTCATCCCTGTTCACAAAAACACACATCCGCACGAGTACTAAATAGGTACACTCCACCACCAAAACCATTCATCAGTCCTCAGAAAGCAGAGAAACTCTAAACCTTGTAGAGACTGTGAAGGAGACATGAGAAGCAGAGAGAAGGAATTATAAACAAACATCTAACATCTGAGTTTTAACTACTTTGTCTTTATCCATGCTAGTACTGCGTCTTTACTCCCTCATCGCTGACTTTGTTAGGTCTTATCTATTTGCCCAAACCAGTAACCATAAGAATGCTATAAAAGTGTCACTTCTCATTTGAGTTTTAAATATATTTGCCAAAATTGGAACAATCTGGAGTACAACATAGACTGTATGCTACGTAAAATATATTAATACTCTTATCTTTAAACTCACTACAGAAACCTTCATCTCTTTGATCTTTCCAGTAAAGATTCTACTTTTACTATTAACACCATAAAAAATATAAAATAAACACGCAAATCCCCAAGCATATACAGACACAAATAGAAAACATCCCTGCTCTCTACTCTCTCTTGTTTTTCTTCCACCGGTTATCACCCTGAATAAACATCTCTACCCCACATGAGTAATGAAAAAGAGAAGCAAAATCAAGAGACCCCTCTATTTGCTCCATATGTTAGTTTAACTCCTAAGCCCTATCAGTGTCCCCATCTTAAGAGGAAAAATCTTGACTAAACTCTGAATCCCCTCTTTAAGAAACCACACGTTATGCCATCATTCCCCCGCACTGTCAGGCTTAGTGAAAGAGCTACTGAAAATTAGCCCGACTTTGTCCCAATAGTGCACTTTGAGGCGCCTGCCAGCCACAACTTGGACTTAAAATAAAAGCCATTTCCCCTAAATGCTTCTAATCAAACGTCACATCAGCACATATGTTTTGGAGTTATATGCCTTTTAAATCCACTGTATGTCATTAGGCGCTGAAATAAGATCAATTTGTCCCGTGCTATAAGGACGTTTATGATTTAAACTCAAGGGGAATTGGTTGACGGATTCTCAATTTAGATGTCATGTATGAAGTTAACGACCGAGTTTAGAGCTGAATTATAGGGAGCTGGATTATGTTTATGCCTTTTCTTCTACATTTCATTCATTCATGAGCCTTTTCCATCATTGATCCAAATACTGTTGTTGCATATATTAGAGGCAATTTATTTCAGTGTGTGTAAACATGACTGTATAAAATATTGTATGTGTAAAGACTATTATTCTGAATTAACGGAAAAGTTTAGACACTTATTTCTAGTTAGATGATTACATTGATGCCATGTCTGTATGGGAAATATGACGCTACTGCCAATAGCTGGCTAACTTAGCTTAGCACAAAAAGTGGAAACACATAGCCTGAACTATTTCTTGGCAAGGAACGGTTCACAGGCAACCAGTGGAAGCTACTGGTCTCTGTTAACCTCCAAAAAAAAGGGTGCATCGTCATTTTTACAGCTTGGTTTTTGAACATATTAAAAATGAGATATAATGTGTTCATTTATGAGCTTTGGAGATAATGGTAAACAGATCTGGTTCATTAGTCAAAGCCAGGCCAGATCGTTTTCCCATTTCCAGCCTTTGAGCTAAGCTAAGTTAGCTGGTTGTTGGCAGTAGCTTCATACTTGGCGTACAGACACGAGAGTGGTATCAATCTTCTCATCTAACTCTCTGTAAGAAAAGCTCCAATAATAGCCTCTTTAATAATGAGCTTATTTCCCCAAATGTGGAACTTTTCCTTTAAATCAGATGCAGCCACACTCTTCACTTCCCCTGCAGCTCCTCTTCATTTCAGATTCATAAGTCTGGACATACCAGTCATACAAGCACCACATCTGTCTAAATAACACCTCAACAACTCTCTTGCCGGCAATGCTCCC